AATTTTACGGATTTTTTTAGTTTTAAAGGATTAATAGAAGAAAAATGTTTTTAAATTGATTTCTTAAACATAGATTTTATAGTTTATTTTTATTGTTTTAAATGAAATTATATATATATTTTTTTTTTAATTTTTATTATAGTTTTTATGAACAATCTAAGGATCGAAAATATTATTTAAGCACAAATAATATATTTAACACAAAGTTAATTCAAAGACCTTGAAATAACCTTGAATTAACTTTGTGCGCGACAAATTTAAAAAATGTATTACGACAATATAACAAAATATGTGCGAAATATCTATTATCATATTCCAGAAAATTTTTAAGTCAATTATGAAAAAATGAAAATTTAATTCTATTAATATCCCAATACTAATAACCTGTAGAAAAACATGAAACGAATTTAGTTCCGCTTCACCGTTTTTACATATAATTTGCATAATTTTCGCAATTTGAAACATATGTGAATTAAAAAATATAAAATTTGTATTAAAATATAATAATCAACACTTATCTTTTTCTAATCAATATTTAGCATTTAGCATCAAATATCAATAAGAAGAGACACATGTATTTATTGGGCAGCACATTTATCAAATTTTCACACATTACATTATTTCTTTCAAAAATATTAAACATTTGCAAATACGCCTACAACGCCAAAAGATATAATAATATAGTAATATTATAAAAATAGCTAATATTATAAAAATGTATATAATTCTATTAGTAATGAGACTTTATAACGCATGGTTTATTATTTATTTATTTTTGTACTAATAATAAAACTCTATAAATAAAGTTTCATTTTTATTTATTTATCAGTTTAATAAATTTTTGAAAATTGATGGTATATTGAAAGTATTTAATCATTATGGTATATTTAAAAATTTTTTTTGTGTAAGGTTATTTCAAAAATATAATAATAAGTCCTTGAATTATTCATAAAACATTTAGAAAACATTTACAACAAAAAATGAATAATTTTTTTAAAAAATAAAAGTGTCTTTACATTTTATTTAAAAAAATCGATTTAAAAACATTTTTCTTCTCTTGAAATTGAATAAATCTATAAAATGTTTTTTGAAAAAATAATTATTCAATATAATATTTTAAATAATTATAATTGATGAACTACACACTGTATATATAAAATAAATAATAAATTAATGCGAAATATACAGGATATTTCCGGACATTTGCGACAAATTTAAAGGGGTGATAGATCTCGATAAATGGAACAATTTTTATTAAGCAACCTGTGTCCGTGCCTCCAGGCTGCAATGAATATTTACGGTTGCATATTTGTTGCTCCCGATACAATGTCGTATGCAACTCCTGTTAATACCCGAAATGAGCTCATTGACAGGATTATGAACGCATGCGATACAATTCGCAATAATCCTGGAATTTTTCAAAACACCTTGCATATGAGATAGCAATATAATCAAATTTTTATATAATATTTTTATTTGAAACATAACTAATATACAGGGTGTCTCATGACTGAAGGTCCATATTTTAAGGACGTGTTCCTGATGCCATGTAGAGTAAAAAAAGTCTAATAAATATATGTCCGCAAATGCTTCCTAACAGAAATACAAGCATTAAAAGTTGATATGAATATGTGAAACATTTTCTATTAGTCTGTTATTGTTTACATTTTTATCAGACTGGTATTGTTTACATTTTCTGTCTGATTTTTTTCACATTTTCGGTTAGTTTAGTATCGTTTACACTTTCGGTCAATCTAGTATCGTTTATATCTTCTGTAAAGTAACTGCATTTTTAAATAATTCATACCGTTGGATCGGAAGAGGTTTCTTGACCTCCGAGATCACCAGATCTATCACCCCTGGATTACTTTCTTTGGGGGCATATGAAGTCGATGGTTTATGAGAAATAATCTAACAATAGGGATGAACTTATTAACAGAATTATGGATGCGGCAACACAAATCAGAAATTCTTTTGGAATGGTGGAGCAAGTTGTTAGATCACTTTTACGCAGGGCAAGACTTTGTATTGAATCTGCAAAATGTCATTTTAAACAGAATTTGTAAATGAACAAATTAAATTAAATGTCTTTCTTTTCTTTTCTAAATGTCTTTCTTTTTTTAAATATTCAACTTTTAATACTTGTACTTCTGTTAGGAAGTATTTGCGGACATATGTTTATTAGACTTTTTTTACTCTAAATAGCATCAGCAACATGCCCTTAAAGTATGGACCTTCAGTCATGGGATACCCTGTATATAATGCTAAAAATTAAAAAATAAAATTAAATATGTTTTATATATTATACGTTTATCAAAGAAAAAAATAACAAATTAACCGAAAAATTTAAAGAAATAAAGTATAAAAACCTTATAAACATATACAGTTGCATTAGTCCATCACTGTGCTTCCTGATTTCTTTTCTTGTTAGCCGCAACCGCAACTAAAATATCAGCATAATTTTAGTAAAAAGCAATGAGTGTTTTGTTCATGCGGAAACATAAACCACATTTTTACTGACGATAATTGCAAATGTTTTTATCTAGTCATATATCCTTGCGCAATATTTGTATATAATTAGTATTAACTTAGTTGATGGACAATATAATATTATATGACCTTTTTGAATATTGAAAACAGTATCCATTTCTTTCTCTCTCTCTCTACTTCTTTTCTTCTTCTTCTTCTTCTTCGTCTTCTCTCTCCCTCTCTCTCTTTGTTTTCTCTTTGTTTCATAGAATATACTACTGTAATACAAATACATTTACTATAATAATCTAGTTTTATTTACCGATATTAAATCGAGACATATAAAATATAATTGCAAATTATTTTAAAATTTTAAATATTTCTTATTAATCTATTCATAGGTATATATTAATTGTGGGATTGTATTAATTTAAATTTGTTATCTTAATTGATGTGCTTGTGATATATACTTTATCGTAAGTTGCTTATCTATATTATCTTTTTTATTCCACAATGAAAAAGAAAAGGTAAACTCTGAACTAATATACAATGCAGGCTAAAAAGAACAGATTTTTTGAGTAATTTCTTTAAAGATGGCATATAAAAAAACATAAGCAAGAGACATAAGTAATAAGCAAATTAATATTTTTATTTGATTATTGCTTATATTTTACAATTGATCTATCAAAAAACTTGACTGGTTGTTGATCCATTTGTTTATTGCTTATATTTTTCCATGCATCATAGCCTTTTTGAATGTAGTAAGTTTAAATAGTCATGCGTTTGCTCATGTGATTGACTCGAGGAGAAGAATTTCTCTTGGAACAAATTCAGAATTTCACATTCCTCATGCATAGTTATGCAAAAACTAATCGTCATCTCAGTTTCTCTTGTGCTTATAGAAGTGATTATTGGCGAACGTGTAGATTTTATGATGGATCTATCTACACGCGATGTGAGAAATTTTTCCGTTAGGAAGTGAAAAGAAAAATATTGCTTTAACAAGCACACAGCGATTTAGAAATTATATTGTATGCAAAATAATTTTCCTTATCAGGATAATACAGCTTCTCCCATAAATTGTTTTTATTTTAATTTATTTCCTTTGTTTACATATATATATATATATATATATATATATATATTTGTCATTACACACGAAAAAGTTTATTATAATTCACAAATTATAAGACGTTATTTCTTAATGAAAAATTCTGAATTAAAAAGTCCGGATCCATTTTTTTCTGTAATACTTAAGTAGTAAGAATTGTTAAATAAAGATTATCCAATCAGCGCGGTTTTTTAAACGACATACGTGAATTGCGTATCAAGAAGTGTACATAGTTACATTCAATTGACGAATGGCTCATGGACGTGTCCTCGCTTAAAAATGTTGCTAATTAAATGATCCTTATTTAATATTTTTTCTTATGTTAAAAGAATAAATATGAATTGCACGAGCAGTTGCATATTTTTTTTAAAGCATCTGTCTTTTTTTTATATTGATCTGTTATTTTTTTATATTCCTTTTATCATTTCTTTCGTCATTTATGCATAAAAAAAGATTATTAAAGATATTTTATGAGATATTTCGTAGTTTATATAAAATTATGTCAAATTAATAAAATATATAAAATATTTCGTAAACTACTCAATTTTTGGCAATTCTATTCTTATAATTTTGTATGTCAAATAGAGACATCAATTTATATTATATAAAAAAATTAGGATGATTCCGTTTACAAGACTGGATTGATCCGGCTACGATTTTGAAAAATGACGTTAGTAAAAATTTTAGATTAACTTTTTTTCTCTCAAAACTTTATAAATTTTGTTTGCAACATTTTTTATACGATATTAACAAAAAAATAAAAATTACGCTTTATATGAAACAGTCTGTATATTCCAACAAGAAATGAGAAGTGAACGAAGAGTTGCATGCACGCAAATTAAATGACGAGTGAAGTGTCTAACGAGTGATTAGCTCCGCGTTGAATGTTAAGTTTCACCTTCGACAATAAAGTGTAGTAAACTAGAAGAAGAAGGAAATGGAGAAGAAGAAGGGAGAAAGAAGAATTCCAGACACGCCTGTCAAATGAATTTAGGTTCATTGAAATTTCACTTTGGCGATGCGTTGGCCTTTTTGAGCGCCAAGTATGGCACTCCTGACCTGGTAGCCGGATATGCATCATACAACGTGCTTCTTCTTCTTCCTCTTCTTCTTTTTCTTTTACGAATCGCACATTGTGCGAATATATTGCTATTGGTCGTCACTGTTATTTAAATTATTAAATAATGTACGTACTCTGTTGTCTGATTATTTGATACTTAGCAACACTAGTATCTTTTTGACTAATTGTGCGATCCGGAATAAAGAGATGACGTAACTAGATGTGCATAAATTAAACGGGCGGACGCGAATTCTGAAAGCCAATTAAGATTTTTGTTGTACTCTTACTCGCCCATGACGACTTACTTTATATATTTTACGTTCCTAATTCAAAGACTCATTCGTCATTTTATTGTTTCAGTTATAATCAGAAAGGAGATCTGTATATCCTGTTCATAATGCCGTATTACAATAGTAACCACAGTCCCGCTTATAACAAAGGTGAGTAATCTTATTAGATTATATTACGGAATTAAAATTAATTTTCATATATATTATTATTCACTAAAATATTAATTTTCTGCTAATTTTATTTTATTTATTATTACTAATGTTATTTTATTTATTAATCTATTTATTATTGCAAATTATTGCACCGGAAATAACAAAGTGTAGCTTTATGTAAATATATAAAAAGATCAGAATAATAAATCAGAATAATAAATAGTACAACAAATTACATATAAATAAGAAAAATAAATTAAAAATATTTTGTTATTATTTTAGAAAGAAAGGAGGAACAAATGAGAAATGTTTCGAAAAAAAAAATTTAATAACATTGGTTAAATGATTAAAAAATTAAAAAAGAATTATAAATATAAATGACATTTTAAAAATTGAGTAACGAAGGAGCAAAGAAAATAGAGATAGATTTTTTAAATGAGTAAATTAATTAAAAACAAATCTTACATTTCAGATGGCGGTTCCAGCGGGCCGTCGAGCACTTCTGGTGGTCGTGCCAGCAGTTCGGAACCGACGTATATGATGGAGCACCTAGCCACGTTCACTGTCACAAAGGAAACCGGTATTGTTTATCCAGCAGATGGTATGCGCCGGCTTCTACAACTGGAGAAAAGTAATGGCATTTGGAGTCAAAAAATGCAGCTTCGTCTAGAACGAAACTGGGTTCTTATCATGGACAATGAAACAGGGGTAATTTCTCTTTTAGAGATTTTACTATAAATATAGTAACAATCGAAAATCATTTTTATGGGACTTCATAACGTTTTTAATTAAATTTAATTATGCCTTCCATCATGTCTTCTCTCGACCCTTTATATAATTGTAAAAATTATTACAATTTTCCTTTCTTTCTCTCTCTTTTTTTTTTCTATTTCTTTCTAAAACTATTACAGTCATTTAAGACACTTAAGTTATACAAATATTATTTTGCACTCTTCAAAATGCGATTTTTAAACAATTCTTTCATAAAACTATTTCGTTATTTAAAAATTTATGATATAACATATAAATTTAATATTAATTGTTGTTTATAAATTATTCGTAAATATGATCTTTAATATCGGATACTGTGTGTATCTAAAAGTGATAAGTTGTTCAAAACCTACAACTAGATCAATTCTGCTCTAACAATAAGAGGAAGACATTTTAATGTTGTTCTAAATCCAATTATCTTCAATATTCATTGACATTATTTTTTTTAAAATAAAATTATATATATTTTTATGTAGTAATATGATATCTCAAACGAAATTATTTGACATAATGAGGACTACATAACACAGGCCTGCGAGGTTTCTTTTTTTAAGATGTAAATAGTGATTTTCGACGTAATTTTGTGCGCTGAATCCGAATCTGGCCGCCGAATTTGCGTAGCACGTCACGTTTTTGAGTAATTCGTAATTGAATGGCTCGATAATCGCTATTTTGGCCAATTTCATGAATTTATTGCGAGGAAACCAAATTTTTTGAAATATTTCTGCCAATGGCATCGTATAATACTTACTTTCGCCTTTCAAATCCACTTTCGATTACCACCGCACGATTTTTCTTCGCTGAGATATATAAGTATGACGTTGTAAGAAAATTTACGTTAAAGAACATTTATATAGACATCAATATGGTAGATCCATGATGTTGAAAGTTGGAAAGACTGACATATGTCAGGTTCGGTTGTCCAAAAAAGTATTGTAAAGAAATATCTAATACAGTTGTTACACATTTTGATAAATTTTTCTAAATTTTATGCCTTTTTATTGTGATTTTATTCGCTATAGTGGATGCGCCATTTCTAATTTCAAAAGGTGACAGAAGGTTTAAAAATGTATATTTTTATCCTAATTTTGATTCGTAGTGAAATAAAGAAGTGGCACGGTTGATTTAGAATGGCTTATTAGATTCCTATGCATGACCAGTCTTATGACTTGTATATCTGAGCGAAAAAAAATTGTGCGGCGGTAATCGAAAGTGGATTCGAAAGATGAAGGTGAGTACTATACGATGCCATTGACAGAAATATTTCAAAAAATTTGGTTTACTCACAATAAATTCATGAAATTGGCCAAAATAGCGATTTTTGGGCTATTCAACTACAAATAACTCAAAAACCTGACGTGCTACGCAAATTCGGCGGCCAAATTCGGATCCAGCGCACAAAATTACGTCAAAAATCACTATTGCATCTTAAAAAGAAATTTTGACCCCCTTTTTCGCAGGCCTGTGTAATTTGTATCAACATTTCGATTTGACATTTTACGCAAAAAAGTACAATTGGTGACAGTTTCACTTAATAATACAATTTTTAGGCTGTCATGGAACGATTCCCGGCTTCCTTGATACAGGAACCGACGGCGTTTACGTCGAGGGATCCCATGGAGATGTACAATAATATTTTAGTCTTCACGGTGGCCGATGACAGTGGTTCTGGCCAGCGAGCAGAGATGCACATATTCCAATGCCAGAGTGTATCGGCACAGGATCTTGTCGAGGACTTGAAGATGTTGCAAATGGGAAAACTTGTTACGGGTGGTTCACCCAGAGGTCCTAGAGGTCACATTCCACCTCCGCCGACCTTACCGCCCCCGGAACCACCTTTGAACGGCGTTAACGTCAGAGAACAAGTGTCCGCTTTCAACACGGCGAGTGGTAAGTATGTAATTGTCGAAAATCAATATTTTATATCGTTGGGAATAATATTAACATTTTTACATAAAAGAAGAGCGTTAACATTTCAAACATTAATTTAAACATAAATGGAAAGCTCGAATAGAAAAATTACAGTGATATATACGAGTAAAACGGTATAATATGCTCTGGCAGGGAAAATACCTCACTCATTGCTCAGACATAATGAGCTTACCAATAAGTATTCCTGAAACGGGAGAGATATTGACATATATATGACACATGATTATATTGACATACAGTGTGTTCCAAGAGTCTCGGACCGGTCGAATATTTCATAAACTATGCACTTTAGAAAGAAATATTTCAGACAAAAGTTGTATGGCTTGTAGGGGGCCATCAGAGAGTAGCAATGATTTGACCTTGGAGAGTCATTTGAAGATGACGTCACCTTCAATTTTTTAAATAGAATTCTCTATTTTTTATTACATATTCGTGTAGTTTATCTCGAGAGCTTTCCAAACACTATAATAAAGTATTTCTTCATAGAGTACTTTACGAGTTATGAGGCTTGAAATCATTTCTTAATTTTACATAAACCGTAAAATATCTTGTGAAATATTCATTTTTCGATTATCTCACCTTAATAATTTTATGTACAAAATAATGTGAGGAATCAATTGGTGTAAAGAAAACACATAGTTGTTTAAAAAAAAAATGTAATTGTTAATTGCAAATTACATATTTTTTTCTTAAAAACAACTATGTTTTTTCTTTACACCAATTGATTCCTCTCATTATTTTGTACATAAAATTATTAAAGTAAGATAATCGAAAAATGAATATTTTACAAGATATTTTACGGTTTATGTAAAATTAAGAAATGATTTCAAGCCTCATAACTCGAAAAGTACTCAATGAAGAAATACTTTATTATAGTGTTTTGGAAAGCTCTCGAGATAAGCTACACGAATATGAAATAAAAAATAGGGGGTTCCATTTAAGAAATTGACGGTGATCTTCAAATGACTCTCCCATGTCTGAAATCATTGCCACTATCTGATGGCCCCCTTCAAGTCATACAACTTTTGTCTGAAACATTTCTTTCTAAAGTGCATAGTTTATGAAATATTCAACCAGTCCGGGACTTTTGGGACATCCTGTATAGCAATACACAATCAATCAGGAAACCACACTCTAAATGTGGTGTTTTACATTTTTAAAAAATTACAAAATTTCTAACATAAAATATAATCAGCAACAAAGTTTTTTCTATTTAACGTATATGAGGATATACTTTTTTTTTAAAATGTTCTGAATAAAGGTAATATACTGGCTCTATATATTATAATATTTTTTCTAGTAGACTATAACTATCAAAAAAATTAGTGCGAAATAAAATAAAGAGGCATTAGCACTAGCGAAGATCAAGCCATAAACATGTGTCAATATATTTTCCCTTTGAAGAAATAGAGAAAAATGTAATCTTCGCAAATATGTACAATTAATATTTTTAGTGAGTTAAAATATAAATTTTTATATTTTATCGAATTATGTAACTTAAAAAGAATTATTTTTTTAAATTATATTTATTTGAAACTTTTCATGGAAATGAAAACGAAGTGAATATCTTTCCATCATCTATAAATATCTTTAGTTTTAAAAAATTGATCTTATAATTAGAATATTTAATGAAAATTGATGCAATGATTAGTTGTAATATTAGTAAATCTTTAGAAATTTCAACAATCAATAAAATCTGTTCATCATTAATGTATTTTATATTGATTTAAGTAATTGTGGAGCGTATTATACCATTTTATCCTACATAGACATATTTTATTTTGTGTAATCAAAGTTTTTCACGGTTTTTGGATTAATAATATTAATAATGTTAATACATGTGTGGAGATTTTTGTATATGATATTTGTAATGTAGCAGACAGTCAAAATGACATTTCCCGAGAAGAAAACAACGATGAGGTGTCATCAACGTCATCAGAGAAATACGAGCGCGATGTGACGATTCTGAATCACTGCTTTGATGACATCGAGAAGTTCATCGCGCGTCTGCAGCACGCAGCTGCTGCGTCACGAGAGTTGGAACGTCGACGACGTAACCGGAAATCGAAAAAGAGAAACCTTGGCGACGGTATGCTGACGATGAGGGCGAAACCACCACCTGAGATGGAATTTATTGATATATTCCAGAAATTTAAGCTTTCGTTCAATCTGTTAGCCAAGCTCAAAGCGCATATCCACGATCCCAATGCGCCAGAACTTGTGCACTTTCTCTTCACGCCGCTCGCACTCATCGTAGATGCATCCCACGACACCAATTACGATCCGAATTTACCTAGCAAAGTGGTGTCGCCACTTCTCACGCGAGAAGCCGTCAATCTATTAATAAACTGTGTAACCAGCAAAGAAACCGAACTCTGGCATTCGCTAGGCGACACGTGGCTAATACCACGCGATCAATGGAAAGGTCATGTACCGCCTTATCATCCAATTTTCATGGATGGTTGGTCACCGGAATATCCTATCCCCGAGGATAGAGACCACGATCACTTGGCGTCCTTACTAAACGCAGATAAACAGAAGAGAGATGAGTTACCAGAACAGCAGAATGATCCTTACTATAATCACCGTGATGTAGATGAGTCGCATTATAGTAGCGATTATCTAGAGTATGAAAGTCGAGAGGAGCGCGGCGGTAACGAGTACTTTGAGAGAAATTACGGACCTAGTTCGGAGTTATACGGTAGAGAGGAGAGAGTAGATCAGACCAGGGCGCATAGCGACATTTCTGTGGATTCGATTGAGAGAGCTCCTCGAACGTCTGCTGGTATAGACAGAGCGCAGGAAGCTTGGTTGGATGAATTGGCAGCGCGCCATGCCAAAATAGTACAAGTTACCTATCCGCGAACGGCAAACAACGACAAGGAGCTCACTGTAGTCAGGGGCGAATATTTGGAGATCCTTGACGACAGCAGGAAATGGTGGAAGGCGAGAAATTCTCGGGGACAGGTTGCTCACGTGCCGCACACTATCGTTACATCGCATAATTCCACCGCTCATACTGCTGACAATGATGTTTTCAACAATCCTTTGTATACTAGCAGATATCCGAGGCAGGGACACGGCTATAATTATGAGGTGAGAATCGTTGAAGAGTGAATATTCCTTTTGACAAATAGTTTATCGATGAATAATTACACAGGCCTGCAAAAAAGGGGGTCAAAATTTCTTTTTAAGATGCAATAGTGATTTTTGACGAAATTTTGTGCGCTGAATCCGAATCTGGCCGCCGAATTTGCGTAGCACGTCAGGTTTTTGAGTTATTTGTAGTTGAATAGCCTAAAAATCGCTATTTTGGCCAATTTCATGAATTTATTGTGAGGAAACAAAATTTTTTGAAATATTTCTATCAATGGCATCGTATAGTACTCACCTTCATCTTTCGAATCCACTTTCGATTACCGCCGCACGATTTTTTTTCGCTCAGATATACAAGTCATAAGACTGGTCATGCATAGGAATCTAATAAGCCATTCTAAATCAACCGTGTCACCTCTTTATTTCACTACGAATCAAAATTAGGATAAAAATATACATTTTTAAACCTTCTGTCACCTTTTGAAATTAGAAATGGCGCATCCAATATAGCGAGTAGAATCACAATAAAAAGGCATAAAATTTAGAAAAATTTATCAAAATGTGACAACTGTATTAGATATTTCTTTACAATACTTTTTTGGACAACCAAACCTGACATATGTCAGTCTTTCCAACTTTCAACATCATGGATCTACCATATTAATGTCTATATAAATGTTCTTTAACGTAAATTTTCTTACAACGTCATACTTATATATCTCAGCGAAGAAAAATCGTGCGGCGGTAATCGAAAGTGGATTTGAAAGGCGAAAGTGAGTATTATACGATGCCATTGGCAGAAATATTTCAAAAAATTTGAACAAATATTGAGAAAAGCTCTCTTAAATTTTAACAATAAATAGAAAGGTCATAGGCGATAGAGAGCATGTAAATAATTAGATAATCAAGATTAAAATAGAAAAATCATAATTTAATAAAGCAAATTAAGTACGATATAAATAGCTGAGAAATGTAATATGATTAAACATACAAAAATTAAAGATAAGAATATACATAAGGTACGAACGTTTCTGGCTCTCGCTTTGAGCCTTCTTCAGCGCAATAATAATAACCAACAGAAATTAATATAAAAACTAATAAATCATGAATATAATAAAGTATTGGGTAACATATAAATAATGATAAAATCGCAATCGGTGCAACGTTAATAGATGCTTATCGAAGTAATGGATCTTCATGGTAAAAAATAGAAACCTTATTGTGCAAGTGTAATTGGTGATGAATAGAAACTCGACAACAGTACCAAATGCAGCCTGAAATTGGCGTGATCCGGTATTTTAAACAATTCATATAATATACTGTGTGACAATATAAATACTTACAAAGAGACTGTTCAACGATAATACGAAAGATGGAGAGAAACAATAAGGTTCAACATGAGAAACAGTTACTGTTAGAAATGCCGAAGAGAAGGCTGGTATATATACCCGAACATGACATTCAAATTTTCGGTAGCTTGTTTATAATATCATGATATAAAGACGGTAAATTTTCTGTGTCTGTCTGTAAATTTAAACCATTCTTTTGTCTCTTGATGTAAAGCATTTCAGAAATTAATCTTCTATTGAAAAAAGGAGCTTCATCCAGAATTTTAACGTCGTCCCAACAAAAATCATGACCGTATTGCAGCCTATGATTTGTAACGACAGAGCGAGTAGTATAATTTCTATTAAGTTGTGATCTATACTCCGATATTCTCGTCTTTAGCATTCTCGAAGTTTGGCCAATATATGAAGCGTCACAATCCGAACAATTAATTCTATAAACTACATTGGTTCAAAAAATTTGGTTTCCTCGCAATAAATTCATGAAATTGGCCAAAATAGATTTTTGAGCCATTCAATTACAAATATTCAAAAACATGATGTGCTACGCAAATTCGGTGGCCAGATTCGAATTCAGTTCACAAAATTACATCGGAAATCACTATTGCATCTTTAAAAAAAACCTCGCAGGCCTGTGTAATGTAACATAATGTAACATAATATATAAAAATAATATAATAACTAAATAATATATAACAATAATATAATAACGATAAAATAATATAACAATAATATAACATAAAACTATAATATATCATATTATTTGTAATATTATAATAGTAATGTATAATTGCTAAATATAATTGTAATATAATATTGTTATATATGTTTATACGTGTTCCTTTTAGTTGAAAATTTGTAATATTTATAAAATGAAAATTGTAATTTGTATATGTATCGCAGGATTCGGAGATCGAAAGAACCAGCACTAGTCCAGGACCAGAAGCCACTCATCGAGCACACGCGATTCCACCACCAGCGCCTGCTGATTGGGTGAGAAAAGAAAGACTCGGGAAAAAAGGTGAATTTCGATACTTTTAAGTTATTTCAGGCGATTACAGGCGTTCTATCTGCATTCGAATTTGAAGCAATTTCTAAATACTATCCCATCAAAAGTGAAATTATAAAATGCAGTTTTTACTTTCATTGCCTTTTTTATATAAATAAGCTTCGATTATTTTATAATTAAATATCAATGAATGTCTTTCAAAATTGAAAGATGCTGCCTTAATTGGCGTGGATAGGACACTAAAGTCAATATATCAAAAATTTGATAAAGGAAGTTAATACATAAGAGGTAAAGAAAAGCGTATTACGTTAGTATGTATATGAATTAGCATAATTAATTATTAGATCATCGTTCACGTCACGTCCCAATTAGCGCATTCGTTGAAGAATATTGTAATATCTGATGATTTTTTTCTCTTGAATGTGTACATAGAAAGAGATATATAAATAAATAGTACGTAGACTGAGCCGTTCATACGACTACAAGATGGGCGTGGCATTCTAAATTCTTTGTATCGCGATTATTTTAACATTTAGAGTGACGTGTAAGTACATTTGACTTTTTTTCAAAGAACTATATTGTTCTTATTTTCTTTTCGTTGCGATACCATTGCATTTTTGTCGTACAACCTAAACTGTAATAAACTGCATAGTTGCTATCGACAGATTAATACATATAAATAAGTTTTAAAAGAAATTTTTTTAATTATTTAAATAAGTTTTATGAGAAATAAATAATAATAATTCACTCTATATCACTATTCACTCTTATATGTGGATATTTATATAATAATTTTTATTCTCGAAAATACCGATTAATTATTTTGTTGAATCTCTTTTATCGTTATCATAAACGTATCATGCGTTATCATAGACAGAGAAATTATGATTGATAATAATCAGAAATGAAAGCGCAATGGCAATATGACATTGAAGATATTGAAGGAAATTATTTCTCAATATATAATGATATATTGTATCGAAAGGCTAAGATATATACATATATTGAAACTTAGCACGAAATTAATTAATTAATTAATAATATGAAATGTGTTAGAGTCATCTCGAGTAATAATGACAATCTGACATCTAGTAGCTGAGAATTACCGGATTAGTTTTTAATATTGTATTTTTAATTATCGATTGTATAATTAAAGATTACCGTCATATATTATATCCTCTGTATTTATCGACTAACTAAATTTAATTATATAATTAAATAATTAATTATATAATTTTATAGTAACAGAAGGAAAAGAAATATATATGTATAAATATATGTATTTTTACACACACATATACATACATACGTTATATACGTACTATATTTTATTATATAGAAATGTTATGTTAACGCATTGAACATATTCTAGTTAGAAAGTACATACATACAAATACTTATATATGTAAGTATATTTATACAAGTAAAACAGTGCAAGTTATGTCAAATAAATTATATATACAGGTTGCTCTGAGATTCGCAAATCAAAATAATTTTTTAACTTAATTTTTCGAAAACATTTTTGTTATAATATTTGCTTTGCAAATTTCAAGATACTCTATAATTTTGCTGTTCAAATATTATATATATTGTGTATGTATGTGTGTGTAATATTCCTGATTAAGATTAAAGCATCACTTTGAATCGATCGAAAACAATAATGAAATTCGATTGTAACTTTGCGATAAATGATCATACAACAATATTCTTGGAAACATTTTAAAATTGGAAATCTATTTTTAAACACTATTATGCTTTTTTCCGGCAATCATTTTTTTTGAATTATAGCTATGTTTTTTTTTAACTGAACTTGCTGTGTATGTACTATTATAATTCACAGAATTTAATTCTTTTTTTACATTACATTGGAAGAAAAAATATAAACTCTAAATTAATGCAGCTAAAAAAAAGAACAAACCTAGTATCACTTCCAAATCAACGGTGAAAAATTGACCGAGAAATTTCAATTTTAAGATCACATATACGTAAAAGAAGAAACGTTCTTAAACTTTTAGGAACATTAATCATTTTTCACAAAGTTACATTTAAATTTTATTATTTTTTCGACTTGATTCGAAGTGATGCTTTAATTTTATGAAGAAATATATTTGAATGGCAAAGTTAAATTAGTCTGATTAAGATATATCCACACTATATTACTATAGCAGAATTGCTGTGTCTGTCGTTTGTCTTTATATTGGGAGTTTCATTTGTGAGGAAAAGTTTTACAATTTCAATAAAGGCTCTTGATAAGAATCCAATGAAAAAAATACAGAAAGGAAAAGCGAAGAAAATTTTTCTGATATTATTATATGACACATTTTGGCATTTATGTTGTATACTCTGTATTCTATCAATAGCCTTTATTGAAGCAAAATATCTTTTGTTCGGTTCAGCTTGTATATGTCGTCGCATGCATTTTGTATTTATTAGATCAATGTAAATAAGCTTGTACAAATAATTGAAAGAAACAGTAAAAGAAAAGAAAAAGAAACAGAGGTAAAAAATGTTCGCAAAATCAACTTTAAAAAAGGACGAAAAATTATATTTATAATTTTTCCAGTAAACAAGAAAATTTTTTTCTTGTATGATCAATTCGTTTCCCTCCTATGATTTATATTAATTTCATTATTAATGTAACACGGTCTAAACTTATCTCAATATACATTTATTCTAAATCTTTACTATTTTAAAGGATAGTAATAGAAGGTACAAGCAAAATATGAAAATGATATTATCAAATCGATACTGTCATGACTTCTTATAGCTTGCATTATTTATTATTATATATTTAAATTTACATCGAAGTATTGTAACACGATAATAATAAATAAAAATCAAGAAATTAATAAACAATATATTCGCGCGTAAACAATAATCGTGGACAAGAAGTAGACAAGCATTTATTAATCCGTTCTTATCACAGAGGCATTTTTTTAAATTCTCCATATATTATAAAATTACACAATATATATGCGTTGATAAAGTGCTCTCTGAAATATAGCAATCCAAAATCATGACATATAATTTCTGCAAAACATTTTAATTCCAACGTAAACAGTTACACGCGCGCTATTTCTTATCTTTTCTTTTTTTTGCGATTGATGGAAATCTTTACTCTATATTTATATGTTTGTCCATGGGTGGGTTGGGGATGCGATTCATGTCCAGAATTTCATTACACTGTAATTTATGTATATCACTCTTATTGTTAATAAATATATGCAGTTACAGATTGTATTTGTGTGAAGTATCATCGTCTCCTTCATTTTTTTTGTTTCCTGCAAATCGATTATTAAACTTAATTGAAGTAATATTGTGTCATATTTTATACAAACACATTGTTTAATGAAATATGATAAAAGTACATTGTACATACACGCACATTTAATACAAGCACGTGCGTGCATGTACATTTTGCAGAATAAAACATGCATATTTGACAACTGATTTATTATTCCGATTTTTATTAATAGAAATTAAATTCCTAACTATAGAAAATTTTAAATATTGTCACTTGTGACGCTTAAACTACATGTGCTTAATGTTTGTTCGTCCAACATATAAGATTGTGTGTGTTTTATGCGAAAGCTTTTTAGGGTAAGTTATAGTCATATTTCATTTCTGTTTAATAGCTCTTTTATGTTAACATTACGATTTATTTATATCAATCAAATGCTTATGCGATAAATAATTCTTTATGGTAGTTTACACAATTTAAATTAATTACAAAATTATTTTGTAATTAATTTTTAATTATTTTGTAAAATTAATTACAAAATTATTTTGCAGACAACATTAATGCTTACAATGAAACCAGTAACAGCAGCAGATCAAGTATTTCCTCCACTGAAAGCATCTCTGAATCACATGGAAAACTCAACACACAACAAAGTATCGTGGAAGTGCATTCCCCGCCTCGCGATGTAATACCAGATGTAATATCCGATAAGCCAGCGCCACTGCTTGTGCCAGCAATATCTGCATTAACATTTACACCAAAATCAACATTAGCTACATCAAAATCGGCACCAATATTACCTATATTGCAATCATCACCAGCACTATCTTCACCGAAATCAGCGCCCGCATCACCTGCGTTAGCTTCGTCAAAGATATCTTCAACGCCTCCACCACCACCTCCACCACCACCACCGACGCCAATAAGACCTATTCCGCCGCTACAAACTCAAAAATCTGCGCCTTCAACAATTTCTATTCCCAAAACGGAATTTTCCAAAAATATTAAATTTTTCAATGGTAAGTTATGATCAAATTTTAACTTTTTGCCTCATAATATTTTAGTTCTCAATACTGAAACATGAGAAATATTTTCTGAAATAGTCAATTCTTATTAATTCTGATAAAAAGAAAAAGAATATAATAATTAAAATTCTTAGCTCTCATTTTCATATAGCTTCTTTTAGGATTTAAAGAAGTATTTAATTTTTATCAAAGAAATTTTGAATCCAAAGAATTTAGGTTCTGATTCATACTGATTTTAAGTATATTATTAAAATGGAAGCTATATTATTAAAATTTATTTTTGTATTAAATTTATTTTGCATTTATATTGAGCTAGCATAAACTTGATTTATTGTGAAACTGCTGTTTTTAAATATATTGATTGCATGTTTAAATATTTTGCTTTGTTTTACATTTCATTTTCAAAATGTCACGTAAATGTATTGACTATTTTTATTATATGTATATAGGATGAGACGACTTTTTCATATCAGAAACATTAATTATTTCTTTAATTAAAACAGCATATTACCATTATTTCGAGTGTAAAGTAGAAAACTAATTGTATAAACCTGAGCACACACATTTCTTTAATTCATATGCTGTGATATATGATCTTTGTGAGTAATTAAGAAATAAAATACGGTCAATGATCTTCGTCATTCCTATGATACGATGAGAATCTAAAGATCAAGTAATTATTTTTACATGAAATATTGCCTTCTCTTCAGCATGAAATGTCAAAGAAAGTGAATCATCAACAATCTAAATATCCCATCAGTTATATGATCAGTATCACATGAAAACAGCTTACTTCTTAGCAAGTACACGTCCTTTTGACGTCTCAAATTGGTTATTTACTGACTATTCTTGACGTCACAAGTTGACTTTTTTTTTACAAGTTGACGTAAAAGTAACGATTTAATGTCACAGATTCTTGACGTTATGACATGTATCGCATTTTGACGTCATGACATGTACCGCATTTTGACATCATAAAATGTACCATATTTTGATGTCTTTTTTTTTAGCATAATAATGTATTTAATAACGTTGTGGAATAAAGCAGATTAATTGATTCGAGAGCATCATTGAACAATTACAGTCATTCTATTTTTCAGAGGAATCTTGGAATGATTAAACTACTTTATTTGAAAAACACTGGATAACACACAAACGATAAGAACAAGTTTTATATTTGTCATTATTTTATTTAAACATAAATATAATATATGTATATAATAGGTCACAAGTTTTATATTTGTTATTATTTTATTTAAATCCTAACAGCACATGATATCATTTGAATATTCTATACTCATACTGTAAATATACGTTACAGATATAATATACTGATGAGAATAATCCCATAACATCTCTTGTTGTATATTATTTTTCATATATTCTCAAAATATACTTTGCATATCTCGTATTAGTATATTCTTTCTCATATATTTTCAGGATATTCTATAATATTACATGCGTTTCCTCATTTTGCCGCTACGCGCGCCACCGAACTCGTACTTAATTTTTGGTGAAATGGATATAAAGGACTGGTACTAACATGAATTCCAAAGTTTCTTCTTTTTTCTTTTTAGTCAGTTTAATTTATAATAAACTGACTTAATTTAAAATTTTTTATTTGTTTAGTAGTTTAGTTGTTCTGGATTCCTTGTTGGGATTCAGAATATTAAAAAGATTATTGGAAATTAAAATGAGAAATAGTGTGTGCGTTTACTGCATTTATTTAAAGTATTTCTATTACATATATGAATTATATTACAAGATATTCTCAGTATTTGCTATTAACCGAAATAGGCGGACATTAGAGCATTCTTAGTATATACTTAGTATGTATCTCGAATGTTCTGAGAATATATGCCATTGTACTTTTGCGATATTCTTCGAACATTCTCAGTATCTACATGTGCTGTTAGAGAACATAAATAAAAATTTACTTCTAATATCACATAAAATTTCAATAAATAATGTCTTCCATTGCCTGCATTTTATAAAAATGTATTTTGCCAATCAACTGTATTATTAAAAAATGTGTATATTTTTTGGCACTTTAATTACACTCAATTGATATAATTAATATTTTCACTGTGCACTAATTTAAAATACATACAAAAAATTGTTAAAGTCTGATCGCGAAAGTCATGTTATATAAAAAATTTTAAAAGATTTTTTATGGGATCGATGTACTAACTAATCACAAAATTAATAATAAAATACTCGTCAGTTCATGACATTAAAATAATGTTATATCAAGACGTCAATATAAAGTCATGTAACAAATTAGTTATTTTGACGACATATGACCAAAAATGACCAGTGTGAACGTCAAAATGACATGTGCTTGCTGCCTTGTTGTTTCTATCCCACCAGAATATATTCTAAAGCCTGATAAAGATATAGAAATTACTTAAATTGACATTTGAATATTAAATTCTTCTGCAAAACTTATTAAATTAAATATTTTATTTGTTAAAAAGAGAGTTGAATGTTATATCTCGAAATCTAGAACTCTCTAATAAAAATATAGTGTCATGTTCATTTTTCTTGTCTCATTTTTCGTAAGAATTGATTAATTTTATAAAGAAGAAATGAAATTTTTATTTTTTGGAATATTAGCATAATCACTTTTGTATTGTTAATATCATCCTGAATAAAAAAGGCACTTCCGGCCAAGATGAGGTTCAAAAAGAGCTCAAGTTTGTCTTGACGATGTTGCGAGAAAAGAAAGCAAGTTCTTCTCTTAGCAGTGATATGCGGGAGATTTGGGTGAATCAATACTCGACCTCTCGAGAAATTCAAATTTGGTTGACGGCCAAAGGATTTTCGGAGAAGTACATTGATTTCATATTTTATCTCGATATTTATTATCCAATGAATTCGATTATTCAATGATTTATTTTACTTGCAGAGTTTGCAAACAATTGGAAGATATAAACGGCATGGAATTATTTAATTTATCGCGAAGACGATTGGAACAAATGTGTGGATTGTCCGAGGGAAGCAGGCTCAACGGTCAATTGACTTTAGCGAAAAATGAATGCGAGGTAAGTGCATTTTAGATTAGATAATTCTGCGTCACTTTTTTTATGCTTGAAATTGTTTATTTTTAGTACAAAACAGCTCGATCATCGGAACTCAAGCAAATTTTAGAAAAAGCGCGCCAAAGAGCAGAAGAGTTAAACGATAAATGAAGTAAAACAGTGAATCATATATTCTGTAAATCATATGTTCCTTACATTACGCATTGTGCGAAAATAATGCAAATATGATGAATTACTAGAAACTGCCTTCTGAGATATTTTCATAAATATTGATTTTATATAAAAATGTTTTGTAAGACAGAAATTAAATAATTTTGAAAGAGTTACATTATGGTTGTCTGAATTTTTTTTAGGTGGAAGCGTCAAAAAGTTTTGAAGATTAGGTCATCTCAAATTTTTGAAAGTGAAAAATCCTTTTTTTTAATCAGCTATGATTATAGAGGATGAAAAGATCCAACAACATGTAAAATGTTGACCATAAGATGATCTTGGAATGAAAAATCCAGAAAAATAAGATGAGTAATAGGTAAATAATTAAAGTAATAATTTTCGAACAAAATGGAAATTAATTTGGTATTATTTACTTATTTACTTTAGGTTACATAGCACGAAAAATTTTCATTTTGACATATATTGCAAAGAGTATATTCCTGAGTAATACACTGTTTAAATTTTGCAGCGATCTCTCTTCCTCTGGTTCCTGAGATATGTGATTTTGAAATTTCATACTTAATACTTGCATCATCTTTTTGTTATATCTTAAATGTGTATTATATATTTTTTGCTTATATTTGCTTTTTAAGCATATTCTTTTGTTTACATTCATCGAAGTCAAATAACTTTCTAAATAACTTTCTAAATAACTTTCAGAAGGTTTTAACCGTCGTTCGTCATTTAAAAAATTATTTATTTAAAAGTTTAATGAATATACCGTAATTTCACGACTCCATGTATATTTAAAAAAAATATATTTAATGGAATATATATTTGTATATGTAACTTTGCTTTGTCTTGTAAAGTACATGCGTGAACACTGTGGGTTCCGTCCCTATCTCACACTTCAAGCATAGATTAGGTTAACTTATATCTTCTGAAAGTACACTGAGAAAAATATCCGGTGAAAATTGAACGAAAAATCCGCTCAAAAGGTAACAAACGGATATTATTGATCTCTTTAATCGGAAAAAAATATCGATGAGAGCCGAAATGACCAATCAAAAATATCCGATCAGAAAGTTTCGATTAGAAAATATCCGATCTAAAATATCCGTTTGTTACTTTTTGAGCGGATAGTCCGATTACATCATATCCAATCAATAGATCTAACTCTTGGTCGGAATTTTCCTATTAAATATTAATGAATATTTTTAATTTTCAAAATTTGCTCAAATTATACTGATAATTGGCATAACGTTCATGAGCTGATAGAACAGAAAAATCTATATAATTATTTACTCAAGTTATTGAGATATTAAATCGGTGAATAAGTGTCTTCGGAGATTTTCTTTAATTAAAAAATCTCAATAATTACGGAAAAAAGCAAAAATCGCGAACAAAATAGGATTTTCGACACTTCCACTGTTCACAAGTAATACTGTATTACACTGCACGGCATACATGCTGCTTTGACGAGACATGAGACAATAGAGTACAAGCTCGTGCATGCCTCATGCAGAACTATCAGATACATTCTGAACGAATAAATTGTATTTCATCGGATTTATTTTAATCGGAAATAGTACATTAGATCGGATATTCAGCTTGATCGAATAAAATACTCTGTTTTTATCCAATCAAGTGCAATTTCCGATCATATTGTATATTAATTTAAGAATAAATAAATCGCGGCTCATTATCCGTTCATATTTCATCGGAAATTACATTTCATCGGATAAAGACATCCATTATTTCATCGGATAGTCCAAGATCCATTCAAAACCGACTGGATAAAGTGTTCGAATGGTTTTTTCCAATTAGAATTGCTGGATATTTTTCTCAGTGTAGAGTCCATGACGATGAGTGTTTGAAGTGTAGGATATACCTCGCTTCGCATAAAAAGTTGCAAATTTATATGGAAATGAAAATACTTTAGAACTATGGGAGCGGTATCCGCATGCATTTTACAAGACAAAATAAGTTAGTACAGAAGTAAGTATATACAATACTTACATTTATTAAAAAATTTAGGTAAAACAATAATTTTATAACTTAAAATAAAATTAAACAAAATAAAAGGCTCTCGAAATTAACAAATTAAAATGAAATATAGTAAAAGGCCATAAAGAGCCAACGCAGTTGTAAGGCGTGATTTTTGGAGAAAAAAGTAGTCCATGAAAACGATCACATTCGACGATCTTTCTTCTTTATTGACAAACGTTTCGGACTCATTTCGAGCCTTCTTCAGTGAATATGTATAGTCTTAGAGAGCGAACGTGGACCCGTCAAGGCAAGTCAACCCGAAGGAAGTCAGATGCAAGCAGTCCTTTGAGCGTTGCAAGGCGCAAACGCTCAAAGGACTGCTTGCATCTGACTTCCTTCGGGTTGACTTGCCTTGACGGGTCCACGTTCGCTCTCTAAGACTATACATATTCACTGAAGAAGGCTCGAAATGAGTCCGAAACGTTTGTCAATAAAGAAGAAAGATCGTCGAATGTGATCGTTTTCATGGACTACTTTTTTCTCCAAAAATCACGCCTTACAACTGCGTTGGCTCTTTATGGCCTTTTACTATATTTTATTTTAATTTATAACTTAACGACACTGAAAATGTAATGAGAAAATGTAAACAAAAAATATATAAATACATAAGTAATTCCCAGATAGTACATGGACGTCCCATTGATGTCCAGTGGATGTCCGAGTTCAGACATTGGGACATCCAAAAGACGTGAATTAAGTTCGACGGACATCCATTGAACGTCCATAAGGCGTCGGTTTGTCACAATTTCGGACGTTCAAAATAATATTCAAAAAAGGATGTTTAATACTCTAAAATGGATATCATTTTCAATGTCCTACTCTTCCAAATTATCGTTGAAATAAACATTAAAAATTCATAAACTCAGAAAAAAGTTTATATTTAATTGTATAATTGTGTAGATATAATTATGTATGGATTTTGACCTAATTTAATCATATATAAAAAATTATTCTTTATTATACACAAATAAATCGCATTATGCATCCTTTATAACATATAAAACATAAATTTTTTGGCCCAACAAAATTAAATAATATAATTTATCTATTTCATATAAAATTTTACATAAAATTCATGTAAAAATTTTATTTATATTTATACTTGTTTATTGAACTTTACATTTTAAATAGGTAATTTAAAATGTAAAGTGCAATAAGCAAGTTTAAATAGGTACCAGATTATTTTCGTTTATTTGCCGGACATTTACTTGTCCGATTTATAAAATCAATTTAATATCTGAAGCTCTTGCAATAAGATCACAAATTAAATTAAATAATATATTTTTAATTTTATTTATTACCCTTATTTGCAAACTTTATATAATTCTAATAACTAAAACTTAAATACGAGAAAGATAGAGCATCGCACATTGCGTAGCGGTAAACGAACGAACTAACACATCCTCATGTGCTTGTGCGAAACATTAACATCCAAGATTGGACATTTTGTGGACATTCAAATATTGGCCGTAATGAATATCTGGAATCGGATGTATGATAAACGTTCATTTCATGTCCATGGACATGCAGATGTAAAATGGACATAAAATGAACATCCATAGAATGTTCGGTGCTATCTGGGTAAAATATAACATGAAACTGTGACGAGCAAATGTAAACAAAAAAAAATATAAACACATAAATAGAATATAATGAAAAGATAAATAAGAAATTTCAAAACCGTATCTCAGGAATACCAAGAGAGATTGCTGCAAAATACAAACGGTATTTTATTACTTAGGAATGTACCCTCTACAATATATATGTCAAAATGAAAATTTTTCTGTGTAACCTAAAATAAACATTTACCATTAATTTTATTTATTAAGGTATTCAAAGTGTTGTCCATTTATTTTATGATCCGCTCTTTGTAAGATTCGCGAATCCTTTGCAATATATCTTTTAAAATCATTCGATAAGCATTAATACGTTATTAATATAATTTCTATTAATATATATTATTATAATCGCATATCTTCGAGGTCAATAAACACAAGGGAATAGAATCAGTGATCATTGAGATTTCATATTGGAATGATAATAAACAAATATATATATATATATAATATATCTAAATGTATCAATAATTCCCGAAGACACATAACTGATTAAAAATAGGTTTTTTCCACACTGATTAAAAATAGGTTTTTTCATTTACAAAATTTAAAGATAACGTTTAAAACTTCTTGATGTCAGCTAAAAAAAAACCAAGATAGCCAAAATGTAGTCCTTTTAAAATTATTTAATTTTTGTCTGTTTTTATGTAAAATCAATATTTAATATGAAAATACTTTAGAAGGAAGTTTTTCTAAAATGACTTATCCTATATAAAAATAATATGTGCGAGTTGTAATACGCGAGGACTAATAGGAAGGAGGATAAATGGAAGAAGATGAATTTTAAAATAAAATACTTTTTTCGTAATTTTCCATAGGACAAACTTTTCATAAAAAAATTTCAATACAAAAATTGTCGATATAAAAATATCCTATCAAACTGATATATTTTATTTTACCTTATATATTGTGATAATATTATTTACATAGCTAATTAAAGCAATATTACATGCAAAGGATTTTTAGCAAGATACAAGCATGTGTTATATACAATAAAAACCTGTGATGTTTTTTTTAAGATTCAAGCAATATAATCCATTTATTATATTTTAATAGATTTATTCAATACATAAATATAAGTTGTTTTCCAGTGCGGTATTTGAATTGAAAATTCAATTAAAGCATTTTAATTTGATATTTATTATACACATTATTAGAGTTTGGTATTTATTATACACTTTATAAATATATATGTAGAATAAATAAATTACTTTATTATTCGACAGCAACGTAGCAAAATATTAAGCAAAATAAATTTTAATCAAATTTAAATTAATTGTTACAAAAAAAGAAAATATTCTATCAAAACTAATATTTGGAAGTAGTAATTAAAAGATTATGTAATCAATGTATATGACGTATCAGCAATTTATATATTATATCTGTAAAATAAATTATTAAATCGTTAATTGATTAAATATTATCAATTGATTAATTGATTAAATAAATAAAAACAGTCTACC